GCCAATAATACCACCGAGTCTGAACATGAGACCGGTCAGGTAAGCTGTCACGTAATTATGAGCAAGTCGGGCTCAGTACGATGACCTGGCCGGCACAAGCCGGGCGCAGTACGATGTGTCCGGTCAGGCCAGAACCGCCGAGTCCGAACGTGAGACCGGTCAGGCAAGCGCCATCATAAGTGAAAATAAAAGGCCGGGCTCAGTACGATGAGTCCGGTCATGCCGAAAATACCACCGAGTCCGAACGCGAAACTGGTCAGGTAAAATGCGCCACCGTAATTAGTGCAATAAAATGTACAGGCCGGGCTCAACAAGCAGCTCGATCAGGCCAAAGCGTCACCGAGTCCAACACGCGGCTCGGTCAGGTCGAAATACTAAACATCGTAAATACTAGTGCAATCAATTGCACAAACTGGATTCAACAAAGGGGCCCGGACAGGCTGAGATGCCGTAAAACTAAAGGCCTACGGGTCATAAGGCCGAAGTGCCCTGAAACTAAAACCCGAACTCCGAAAACAGTTCGGCCCAACAAAATATGCGACAAGGTGCATACACTCATCATACATTCATGCAATCGTCATATGATCACATCATGCATACCATCTCGTAAGAAACACAAAGCTCTAAGCTCACTCATGTCAACAATTCGAAATGCATTCTTGCCTAAAAATGGGTATCAAATTACCCAACCAGGCCGCTCAGGCCCCATTCAATAGCAAATTCAGAAAAATCGCTCATTCGGTCAAAACCGACTCAACTCAACGAAGAACAAAGCACCGTTGTCACAAATTCGTCAGGACAAAGCCGAAAATGATCAACAAAACGCTCTAGGGTCCCAAAGCGCCCCAAAAAACTGCATACTAACTCGCGATAAAATCACTATTTTTCGTCAAAAAACTAACAAGATAAATGTGATCTCTTGAATCACGCAAAAATTATCCGACACGCGCACTCGTCGACATATTTGCGATTTCACCAATATCTCTCATTACGCGTAAATCCTAACGCCATAAAAAGAGCTCGAAGCTCAAAAGATTATGAGGCGAAAATACCGCCAAATTGTAAAGAATAAACGCGATTTCAGAACAGTTCTATCCAGAACATGCCCTAAACTCGGGGGCCTCCTGTTGATACCCAATTTGGCTCCGATTAATTAAATGATAAATAAAATAATACGGCCCGACAACTAAGGGGCCAAAAGTATGTAATAAAATAAATATACAAACAGGTCCCCAAGACCGATCGCCTAAAAACCGACCAGATTCCCAGATGTCGAGTCCACCAGCTACCGAGCCGAGTAGGATTCCAAGCCGCCTTCAGTAGATACCATAATTGCCGAGGAGACAAACTACAGTCGCAACCGGCAAGAGTTATCAGCGGGCCCCACGATAATTATCTCACATTAACTAATGATGTATTATCTCTTATTTATTTAATCACCCACTTGTAAGAAATGAGGGGTATATATATGAGATGGGGAGGAGAGAGAAAGGGACTTTGGTCTTTCCCTTCACTATTCATCTCCTTCCTCCTAACAACAAGAAGAGAGGGATTTTCTCCAAAAAAAATATAATGAACGCCCATTTTTATCGATTTTGTTCTTCATTTTACATATAAACAATTCGGTTTATATTTAACAGTTGATCGTCTGATTTTCGACATTAACACAACATTGTTTTTTTAACCAGAACATTAAGTATGAGCATGTTAGTATTATTTATTTATGTAATAAATTTAAAATATGTAAATGGATTTAAAATTAAATAGTGTATAAATACTTTACAAAATATACACATGTTTTTTTTTTAATTTAATTTTGTATACTAATTAAATATCTTAGATTTACGAAATGTCAAAAACTCAGTCCTACTATAATCAAGATTTTTCAAATTTGCATTATAAGGATTTATAGTTTATTTAGCATACTCATCAATGAAAATATATTTTACAATAACTTCATTATAGAAAGAAATCAAAATAAAAAGATAATCATGGTTGCCAATAATATACAAATAAATTCTAAAGAACAGTTAGTATATTTTAATTTTAATTTTTAACCATTAGTAAAACTATTTAATTTATATAGTCATTATCTCTTAAATGTTAAATTATATTATTTTGAAGAAAAAACATGTTACCATTTTTTTATAAATATTTTTTGAATAAAAAGTTGATATTTGTAAAAAAAATTAACATTATGGTTAGAATAAAATATGTTGCAATATTTATCTTGACCAAAATATTATCAACATGAATCACGGAAAATCAATCTTGTAATTTATTATGATGAATATCAATGAAATTATTGCAGATATTAATAAGTTATTTAAGGAAACAACATTTTTTATCATATCTGATTTGATTTTATATGAAAAAGTGTATATAGAAGCAATTAATTCATATATTTAAAAAATTTTCAAAAAAGGGTATGCATTAAATGCTCCTAAATTTTTTGCTACTATTTTTAATAAATGGTTATTCTTATTATTATTATTATTATATATATATATAGATTTATATTAATATAAATTTTTTCATTCTCTTTTAAAGTCGTGGCTAAATAAATCTGATAAGGAAAATGACAAAATCTTTCAATTTTTATAATACAAATCTTTCAACAGGATATGAATCAATATAAATCTTTCAACAGGTTATAATACAAATCTACGCGGCTTTATTTACCTAAAAAACAGGAAAAAATAAACAGATCGTTAGAGCTCAATTATGCTCCGATATAGAATCTATATCTATATAATAAGAATTACTATTTACCAAAAATAGTAATCCAAAAATTTAGGAAAACATTTATTGCATACTATTTTAAGAATTTTTTTTAAAAAGAAAAAAATAAAAAAATCGAATGAGAATTTAAAGCATCCTAATATTTTGGGTATACAAATCGAATTAGCATTTAATTAGTTTCTAAAATGTTGGGTATGCAATATTAATTTAGGAATACTTGTGTAGTTCCTAAAATGTTGGGTCTGCAACAAGTAAAAGCAAATATTTTTTATTTTTTTAAATATAAAGTATTGCAACACGTAAACTTTTGCAGATATTTTTTATTTTTTATTTTATTAAATATAAAATCTAATCAACATTTAATGCATCCTACAAAATTGGGTTTAGTTTAATTCTCCTTGTTCTAACTTTTTCGGATTGTTCTTTATTTATTTATTTTACACTTTTAAATTAATGAAGCTCTCCGAAAATGCCAAATCAAATGATTTATGAAAGTTTTTTCTTTTACAATTTTAAATCTATATACCCAGCTTACAAAAACTCACATAAATATCGACGAGTTTAAAAAATCTCATAACCCAGTTTACAAAATCCCATCGCATAAATCTCGACGAGTTTAAAAAATCTCATCCCTTATATATTGTAACAGCTTATAAAATAAATAAAGAAAGTCTAATTACTGCTATAAATCTATTATCTACATTTAGATTTTTTTTTAAAAAAAGCTAATTTTCACCTGTCTAATTACTAATATTTTAGATACTTTTAAATATTATTTGCATAAATTTTTACACATTTGCTCTCTCTCTCTCTCTCTATACATATATGGAGACTAAATTAAGAATTTTTAGACTTGTTTTCCTTACAATTAGTTTAGAAAAATTTTAGGTTGCTTCAAACATTTTTCATGAATAATATAGAATATTTTAGATGCTTTTTATATACGTTATATAATATTTTAAGTATTTTTAATATCTATATATCACACTTAGAAAGAATTTATTGCCAAAAAAACATTAAATACACATTGTAAATGTTAATAGAAACCGCCTTAAGTGTTTGTCTTTGATCTCAATTACATATAAAATTTCATTTTATTTGTTGCTTAATATTTTGATGTGTTGGATTTGTATTTGTAAAATTGATAGCTTTTGCATTAATTTCAATTGTATTTGTAAAATTGATAAATTGTTAAGCGTACAAATTATTTTTTATGATAACAACTTAAAAAAATGATAATAATTTTTGAAATGTTGTGTAGTCAAATTTTCAGATGGAAGTAACATCATCTTAATTCCAGTATCTTCTAAATCTTCTCTAAAACAACTTTAGCGTGAGATAATGTATTTATTTAGGCTTATAATATTTTAGATATTTTGAATAAATTGTTTAGACATATTTTTTTACGTATTCTATCTATATATACATATATACAACATAACACATGTTAAGTTTAAATATTTTTAGACATGTTTTCTTTACAAAATAGTTTAAAAAATCTTACATACACATGGTACATTTAAATGTTTAAATATTTTATTTCCATAATAGTTTAGAAAAGCTGTAGGTGACTTCACATCTTTAAAAAATAATATAGAAAATTTTGGATATTTTTACAATTATTAATATAATATTTTAGATATTTTTAATATTTTAAATATACAAAATTTATGTTCTCTTAGTTTAACCGTACACCTTTAATTTATAATTATTATTTTATATTGTTTACCCTCATCTTTAATTTATAATTATTCTTTTTTCTTCTTTTTTTAGGGAGGATCAATAGTAGTTCTCACTTCCTCCATTTAATGACTCAAACTCAAGACATATTTATAATTATTATTTTAATATTGTATCACGTGCATCGCACGGGCTACACACTAGTTGTAAAAAAACAAAGTTTATCTATATGGTATTATTTATACTACGCGGCTTTATTTACCTAAAAAACAGGGAAAAAATAAACAGATAGTTAGAGAAGAATTAATGCTCCACTTTAGAATTGTTAAAAAAATACTATATTTAACAAATATTTAATGATTATGGCGGGAAAAAGTTCCTAAGATTGATATATGTTAATTCTTATTATATATATATATATATATATATATAGATTTTGAATAATAGTATTAGAAATATATTTTAATTTATACTTGCTATTTTTTTAACTTGAAATATTGATATTGTAATTTTTGAAAAAACTTATTATTATATATAATATATTCAATATTTAAAATCAATAATTTCTATTACTAAGCCGAAATAAGAAAACGATTAGCGTTAAGGGGCTGTAGTGCAATTTCAAATTAGTGGAGGAGGTCTTTCATCTTTGGAAAATACACCACCTATCATTATCGTTTATTTATACTTGCTGACACAGACAGTAGCCAGATTTTCACTTGCGCGTTTGCTGCTCAGTTGTGCCTTTGCCATTGTTGACGACTGAGAGAGGAGGAGGAGCAGCAGACACTCTTCACACTTCATCCATTGTTGCAAGTGAGCTCGGTTCAGTTTTTCCACTTCTCACTATCACGAAAGGATCCTTTTCTTATCTCGATTCAATCTTCACTGCGATTCAATTGTTTGCCTTTCCATTTCAATTCGATTTTTCAATCGTCATTTGCTTTTTCGAGTTTTTGATGTTGAGATTTTCCTGATCTATTGTACAATACTTCATGGAGAATTTTTTTTTTTTTTTTTTNTCCAGTTGATTTGCCTCTTATTGATCTTAGCATACTTGATTCTTCCTTTTCATACCCTGGGATTTTTGTGTGCCGTGCTAATGCATCACTTGTGATTTGTAGTATGTTATAAATCAATCATCTGTAAAGTGAAGTCTGATGTGGTGTGTATAGAAAGCATCTAGAATTTTCCTCCACTAGTGTTTCTTGATACGTTGAGAAGATGGTTTGAGAAGAAGTAAGCTGCATATGGTCAAACTTATGCTCAGATCATCAATAAGTTTTCTGTTGCTACAGTACTAAACTTTACTGACTGAAGGATGATTTATGAAGAATGGTGATCAGTACTTTTGAAATTGTAGAAATGTCATTAGATGAAAAAGAAGATGGAAAGTAAGCTCTATTTACAATCACATCACATCACCTCGTTTTTTGTTTGCTGTTTTTGATGACAAAGCCTATATTTCGGTCCAATATTGACCCTGAGTGACTGAGCCTTGGATTCTTTATATTTAGCAGACTTGTTTTGTTTCCCCACTCTTTCAAGCACAAGAAGGTAGGGTCCCCTTCTTCGACTATGTTTTTGCTCTGACTAGGACCCTACCCCACTTAATCTAATTAGCTATACCCCCCTCGGTTCCATTAGGATAGAGTATCACGTTCCTGGGTCCTAGCACTTCTTAAAACACTATTTAGTTGGAATACTTTCTTAGATATTCACCAATCTCCATCTGGAATTAACAGGTCAAAGTAATCTGCTATACTCTCTTCTGGATCAAATATCAATTGCAACGATATTGTAGATGACTAGTTGCAATGGAGTAGATGAACAGTTCCCTCCTAAAATGGTGTAGGAAGTTTTCTCGTACGGCTTGAGATTTTTTTTTATATATGAAGTTTGGTCTATGTATGGAATTCTAGTAAATTCATTAACAAATGGGCCTATAAATCAATTATAATATTTACTGAAGGACTGGAAATTCTCTTTAAACACAGCAGTAAAGATGCAGAATCAGGATGGGCATGTGTTGGAGTCAGAAAAGGAAACCATAACATCCGTACAAACATCCGAAACTGATGACTGGGCTAGTTTCAGGGATGATGACATTATGCAGCAGCAATCTGCCATCCTGGCTGACGAAGCTGGGAAAATACCATTCATTGGTGATAAGGTATGGGGCCACCTAATGTTTGGAAGATAATGTTTACTAGAATGAGCATATTATCTGTACATAATGTTACGCTTCCAACAAGTTTGCTTCCTTTTATTTTTTATTTTTATTTTTTTTTTCTCTCTTCTGATTTGGTGATATCTGTTTTGTGAACTTGAGTACATATCTTAACTTGCTGGACATAACCTTTAGGTGTATCAGGAAAATTTTTATGGTCTTCGCTGTTATTTTCCTACCTGTTCGTCTTACTCAGGCAATTATTTTCAGATCTTATATAATCAATATCTTGACCGAGTTTTAGGATGGTTCAAGTTTATCAATCAACTAATTCTAATTTATGTGAGCAATTCAATTGCCTTTAGGACTAGATGCATATTTTGGTGAATGTTTGGGCTATTTGTGGTCTTGACATTTTAAAATTTGATAACTGAAATGCTTATATTATTTATGGGATGTAGATATAAATTTTTACTCTAATTCCTTGATAATATTGTTGGATATCTGACATGGTGGCAACTTTTGATGATATCACTAAAATTTAATTGGCAGAATTGGTAATTTAAAAGTCACACCCATCTATTAGTTTTACTTTTATTTTCTGCCCAAAGTCCCTCGTTGAATTTAAAACTTACGTAATTTTTTACCAAGATACTAGGTTACTTTAACATGTTAAACTGATATGCTGAAGCTGTTGTACACTGTTAGCATAGACCTGGCAGCTAAGATGTGAGTTACTCTTTTTTAGTTGGTCCGTTTTATCACTTAGGTTTTGTTTCTTCTATAACTATTGCAGGAACCTCTCTCATCCTTATCAGCAGAATACAGTTCAGGAAATTCAATATTGTTGGAGAAAATCAAGGTGTGCATGATCGTTAAACATTGTCTTGATCGACGATTCTCCTCAGTAGCTAGTTAGTAATTGTGACCACCTCCGCAGGTTCTTACGGAACAGTATGCTGCCATCAGGCGAGCACGTGGAGACGGAAATTGCTTCTTTCGTAGCTTCATGTTTGCTTATCTTGTATGTGCCATTATTTGCATCGCGACAACCTTTCTACAATTTTGTTCTAGGTATCGGGATTTTAATTTATTACTTCAGGAGCATATTTTAGAATCACAAGACCGTGCGGAAGTTGATCGAGTGACAGCAAATGTAGAGGAATGCAGAAAGACACTTCTCAGCTTGGGCTATGCTGAATTTACTTTTGAAGATTTTTTTGCGGTACCTACAGTTGTCTAGTGCATGGTTGTTTTGCTATGTTTCGACCATATTTAAATAGATTAGTCAGCACGTGTTTCTGTTCTACTTTTTTAAAAAATAAAAGTTTTGTTGATGTTAAAAACTTCTCACGTCATGCCTCAGGAACTGGTCTTTAACCAATATATATGATCAGTATACTAGTGATGGATGGATTGCAGATGGACACACAAATATATGCATGTGTCCAGATACATGAGCAAAGAGATATAGATAGAAAAGCCTGGCATATCAAGATGAATTTCTTACACTATACGGAGATAACTTTATTTTGACGATTAGGTATCCATTTTTGCTTGATTGCCTTAACTTCCTGAAACTTAATGCTCTATTTATCCCCATCTTCCCCACCAGCTATTTCTCGAGCAGCTTGAAAGTGTGCTATCTGGAACCGAAGCTTCCAAAAGGTATGTAGATATTACTTTAGACTTGTTACTTTTTTTCTTGGTTATCAAAATCCAGAAAGTTACAAATGCTGATCTCTGTCGTCATGGTGGCAGCCATGAAGAACTTGTGCAGAGGAGTAGAGATCAGTCAGTATCTGATTATGGTGAGCAACACTGAATTCAGGAGATATAATTCCATTAAATGAATGAAATGACTGGGCATTGGGCATACTTTCCTTCTATTTCAACTAACACTTTTTCTTTGCTAGTTGTAATGTTCTTCCGGTTTATTACTTCTGGTGAAATCAGAAAGCGGTCAGAGTTCTATGAACCATTCATACAAGGATTAACAAACGCGTCAGTGGAGCAGGTTGGGTTCCTAAAGCTTTTCTTGGTATTGTACATATGCTTACATTTGTGTGTGCTGGCATTACAACAATTCCCAACATTAAGTATACAATATATCTGCTCAAAATGAGTTTTTTTGGCTAACTTGAAAAGAGGGGTATGGTTAGTTGTTAGTGGGATTTTAAGTTTATATTAAAATAATATTTAAAATAAAATAATTAAAGTTGATTTGATGTAAAAGTAGGAGAGAGGTGGTGTGAAGTGATGGTTAGTAAAATTATGTGAGTGGATGAATTGTAAATTAAAGTTGATGTGATGTGTAATAATGATTGGTTGGTATTATTTAGTTATACTGATAATATTGAGGATAGTGGAGTTGAATTAAAGTTGAGTTAGATTTTGAGTATGAATTGAGTATTTTCATATACAAACACACCCTAAGACTCGGCTTCATTCAATTTAATGTCTGGATGGAGTTACCCTCTGTAAATATGAGTATCAGATACTTCCTAATGCTGCTTTTAATTGATTTTTGCAATCTTCATAAGTAAATTTGGTGGTTTAATGTTGTGTAGTTCTGCAAGTCATCAGTGGAACCCATGGGTGAAGAGAGTGATCATGTTCACATAACAGCTCTTTCGGATGCTCTGGGAGTAGCAATACGTGTGGTTTATCTCGACAGAAGTTGCCATGATAATGGCACTGTCAGTGTTAACCATCACGATTTCGTTCCTACTAACAACACTGTTGATGCTCACCCATGCAAACCCTTTGTTAGCTTGCTTTATCGACCAGGTCATTATGATATTCTCTACCCAAAATAACATGTTTTCCCAGCACAAGTATAAGCACCTGTTTTGCAGAGAATTTCTTGTTTGTTTTCTTAACTAGGCCACAAACACGATTTGATCAACTGATTGGTTTCCTTTCTTCTTTTAAGACACTCTTGAACGTTCATTTACAATGCATCAGAATTCTTAATGTTCCTAAATACAACCGAATTTTTAAAACTCACCTTTTATCTTTAACATTGTCCATTATGCTTTTTAATATCCGAGTGAGGGGATTATCATCACTCTCCCAATAGCATCACGACAGTAATCATTTAAAACCATAATTCAATTCCTTAAGAGAGAATATTTCTCAGCCAAGAACAAGGGGGCTAGGGGCATTACAAAAGAGAAGTAAAATGCAAACAAACACGAATAAACGGTCATAATTAGGAGAAGGGGCCTAAAAAATTATCCTCATACTTAATTAAAACGAAGTTATACATCAATCACAACAAAAATTCCTTCAAAGTTGTTCTCTGACTTAGCAAACTGCCCAAGAAAAAAAGAAAAAGTGAAATTAGAGCGCAAAACGGGGGTGAAAGGAACAAAAAGTGGCGAGACAAAGGAGAAGCCACCTCCACACAACTCTATACAAAATACAGAATAGTGAAACCCCTCAAAATACTATAGTCCAAAACTTTGAAGCTCCATGTTGCTCCTCGTAGCCATTGTGCAGCAAATGAACAGTTTAATGTTTAGAGTCAGCCAATATGTCAATTTCTAGGGCTTTTCCACATTCACAACAGTGCTTTTCCCTCTACCCCCACCACCCCTTTCAGTCGTGCTTTACCGTGCCGTAATATACAACAAAGAAAATTGAAAACAGAGGCAAAATCCAGGTAAATTATTAGTACATGATTTTCTAGCAGGTTAGTTACCAAAAAATGTAGACACCAATTTAATCCGAATCTTTGCCCGAACCGGAAGATAAATCTCCATTGGAATAGTCCTCCCCAGTTAGAGTATTAGATGGTATTTCATGGTTCTCATCAGTAATGTTGGTTCGAATCTTTCCTGTTCGTGGTCGAATATTAGGACCCATTGGAAAGGGAACCTGCATTTGCAATAGGAAAACGTAACAACTTAAGTCCCACATAAAAAGCCAAGCTGCTACCTACTGTGTTTTGTGAAACTAAAATAATTTATTGAATTTTTTAAATAGTACAATGCCAATAAGAACCCTGAAAAGTAGGAATCAAAACAATGCACATATGATATGATAAATACAAAAGAACCTGTATAAAGTAATGCCATCGTGACCATTTAAATATATTAATTTAAAAAGGTTCATTTAATTTTCCTTTTTTATAACAAGTCAGGACACTAAACTAGAGTATACGTCATACTGTATCTTAAATCATTGCAGGTGCAGGCAAATTCATATACCTGATCGCCAGCATTAGGACCGTCTGTATGGAACAGTATAGGACGGCACCTCTTGTCTTCATTCATCAAGCTTGAATTCTGGAAGTGTGCAACGAGGGCATTCTTTCCCTGTATTCGAGCATAGGCCAAAGATGCTACTTTTTCACTATTGAATTTTTCCCATTTCTTTCCATTAAATGTCTGCAAAACGGTAAAACCAAAAATAAAAAACAAATTCAAACTTAAGTCTTTAACCTTTTTATTATTAAAAAATAAATAAATATACAAAAATAACAAGGAATCCGACTGAAAATACCTGATAAAAGGGAACTATGAGGGAAGGATCTGTCATGTTTATAAATGCGTAGCCCACATTGCATTTGTTCTGCCAACAAAAGAAATACCTAAGGGTCAAACATACAAGACTTTCGCTGCCAACTTAACGTCATATGAAAAAACTGGCTACATATACAATGTTTCGACGTTGTTTCAGAAGTCGGAGTAAACTTGCCTTGAAATCAATAGGTAAGTATATAAAATCATAAGTTCCTCTGTGGCGTTCGTCGATGGCAGCTAAAAGCATCTTTGAGGTGTACCTGATATTGAAAACAAAACGAAATACAATATGTAACCATAGGTGTGCAAAAAGCACATAATACAAGAGTGATTTTCACAGTCATAGTAAGATAATGAAGAATCTCAGAGTTCATATGTTCATGAACATTCCATTGTTCTACTATCCTGGCAAGAAAGATCAAGAATCAATCTTTTCATATGAAAGTAAAACTCGAAGAACAACTCCATACCAAGCATGATGATTAATATAGAAAAGTGAACAAGAGTAATCAAATTAGCGTCCAGATATTACATTATTAGCATGATAACTGGCTGACACGAACAGATAGCATGGGCACTAGCATAAGGCTACAGGAAAGCTAGTTTGAAGTTTGCCTGAACAAGGTATTATTATCTCTAATAAATCGTTAAAGGAGGATGGCATGATCAAATAGTAAAATTATGTATCTGCCCAGAAATGTATGCATGAAGTACCATCCACTTGTATGTAACCCTACAGCTTAACAAATGTTAAGTATTTAATCAACAAAGAAACTCGAAGAGTTCAGCTTTGGACAAAAAATACAATTCAGAAACTTAGAGTACTAAGGCATACTTGTTAGGAATGTTCTTTAACATAAGGGTAGTCCGCTTATCTTCTCCTCGTGCAATTCTGTCAATGTCAAGCTCAAACTGTTTCTTGTTGTCAGCTTGACTCGAGTTGCCTTCATTCCTGCGGCTTCTAGCCCGTTCGTTGGGAGAATCAAATGAACCCATCATAGGAAGCATTTGCCCTCTTGCAGGGAAAATCATGCACCTCTGATGATGAGGATGTAATCCAATATTTTTGGAAGCAATCGGCATATCCATACAATTTCCACCAGCTCGAGGAAAAATGTTATGAGGAACAAAGTCGAGTGGATGCGGAGAATTACCAGAAATTCTCATGTTCCCGAGAGAACCTGGGTGGAATACAGTAGCATCAGGTGACTCCCCAGCATAAGCATGTCGTCTGTCCCAGAGTGAAGGATTGACAGAAGGTGCTGACCCAACATGATGGTTATTTAGAGGTACAAGTGAATTCAACATATGAGATGGAGCTCTGGGAACTGTATGCATCTGTTGAGGATGAGCTGCACCACCAATCCCATTAACAAATGATGGTGAACTGGGCCACAAAATCTGCTGTGGATGATGTGAATTACTCCACATGTAATGACGCCCAAGAGGAGGACAGCTCCCATTAGAGGACCCAAAAGCTGTGAAAAGAGCAAAGACCATAAATAGGGAAGCCAAAGAAATGAGACATGTAAGCTATTCAAAGAATTTGACGCTACGTAGCTATACAAAACTAAATGTGACAACACCTACGAAGTAGCCATCATACTTTCAGATGAAGACAATGGAGTTTACTAAATGTTCATGTTCAGCAATAGAATCAAAGAATTGCGTATGTACACAAACTACAGGGTTTGACTGCAGATCCTATATTTATCTTCTTTATTCCACTAGTTCTAAAAGGACTAGCAGCTACATGCCTACAAGCGTTCATACTGAAATCAAGATAAATAGATGAAATAAGCAACATGATATGGACAATCATTACCTTCCTTTAAGTCAATTGACTGCCCATTGGAGCCAACTCTACAAAACTGCTGTTTATCAATCATTTCCGGTGGTCGGGTACCAATAGTTGCTCCAATGTTGCTTGGAGAACCAAAAGGAGGACCAGTTGCTAAACCATCACGAGGATGAAGATTTGCTTTCCCCTGGAGCTCAAAATTCAGGTGGCTCCGTAAGTGGCTTGACTCAGTTATACTGGATTGATTTCCAGGTTCAACTCTTATTAGCGATGGTAAGCTGTTACTTGCACTAGAAGATACCTCAGGGTGAAGCACATTATCCAGGAGCGGACGACTAATAGGGCCTCCATTCGTTGAAAGAGAGCCAAAAATTGTTCCATGATCTGTATTGGGTGCACTCCCCCCAAATACTGTTGAAACAATTACAACCCATAAGTACTACCTATATAGAACACTCAACATCTACCAGTACAATGTACAAGAACATTACCAGAAAAACCTGCTGCCAAGTAATTAGTAGGGGTGTTCTGTTGCAAATGAAGACCATACTCTTCCTGCTCCAACTCTGAAGAAAAAGGCTGCGTGACTCTATACAACAGACATAGTCTTTTAAGTTGGCACATAGCAATATCAGAAAATTAAATCCCAGCTGATTATACTATAACTAATTTATTAGTATTAAGTGAGTTTTGCCTTGATAAATATGAAAGTTGAATTTATAGATTTTAGTAAAAATGCAAATCCACCTTTTGGTGCCACCTGGACGGCCAGGTTCAACCTTAATCTGTTTTCCAGCAATATCACTTCTGTTCAGAGCATGAAGTGCAGATTCTGCAGCTCGGACATCGTAAAACTCTATAAATTTGTGGTGTAACATATGTGGAGGCTCACGAATCTGCACCACAAAAGCCATAGTTAGTAACTTCACTTGAACATGAACAATATGTTAATAATAGGAAGCTGCACTCATTCACCTCCTTGATATCGCCATAGACACCAAAAATCTCACGGAGTTCATTGTTTGAAACAGAAGAATCAAGATTGAAAACCATAAGAGTGCCCTGATTTATATCTCTATCTGAAGGATTCTCCTGAAAAATAGTTCACCACAGAAGAAATTAATAATTCAAGAAAAAAACAATGAGCACTCCGTCGTACACTGGAGAACAGAAACAAAAACGGGCAGAGAAATTTAAAATATGCAATGACAGAAAAAACACCTTGGGAATTGAGAAATGTATATCAATCTTCCTACGCCTTAATGGTTTATTTTGGAGCGCTTTCATTGCATCACGGGCTGCTCTTAAATCATAATAGGAGATAATAACAAACCCCCTGTGCTTGCATGCAGTGTACAAGGTGCGGATATCTCCAAATTGCTAAAATTAAAAAACTCAAATAATAAGGCAAAGAAAATGTTTAAATCACAAGGGGTGGTGACAAAATATCATCGCTGTTTACCTCAAAAATTGTTCGCAGCTCAGAATCTTCAACGGTGCTATTTATATTTCTAACAAAGAGTGTCCTCGAGGGGTGCTCACCATAAGGGTGTTCACCGCCGTTGGCACCCCCAGATATTACCAGTTGATTAATAGAATTTACATCACTAAGTTGAGAGTTCCTTTGAGAAAAGCCATCCTCTCCAAGTTCCAGTCCTCCAACACTGCTAAAAAAGTCTAGATCTTCCATATCTTCCGCATTATCAGGTCGAGTGGAGTTATTAAACCCATCGGTCACACCAGAAAGCAAGTCATCATCATCAGGG